TATATAACAAATGGGTTTTAGAGCTGGTTTATCAATAATATAAAGAAACACGGGCAAAAAGTGTTTATTAGGAGTTTGGCAGAAGGCAGRAAACAAACAAAAACAGACCTAAAAGACATGGGTTTGTTACCTTTTTGTATTTTGTAAGTTCTGTATTGCCAAAAGGTCATTACACCACTGTTTATTGCTGGAAAGACACTTTAATCAGGAGACCTGATAATGCAAATATCGTAAATCAACTGTCATCGTTACTTTATCTGAATTTGTATTAAAGTCTCTTTTTGTACAAGTAGACACACTCAGATTTAACAAGAGATCAGCTTTATTCACTTTTTCTACAAAACAAACAAAAAAAAACTAATGTACAATTCAATAAAACATTTCAGGATATTATTTTACAGGGGGAATGGGAAAAAATAGAAGGATGAATTGGAGCGTGATGTYAACATCAGCATTTACATTTGAATTACTTACAACAAAAACACCAACAAATTAAAGSAAAGCACCAGACTGATGCATTCAAAAACATTACATTAATTTGACTGACAAATTTTGTCACACCCAGTCTGGGTGTTTAAACTAACAAATAATACAGACACGCATTTGAAATGTCCTATACACTCTAYCCTCATATGAACTCAGCATGGAGCCAGGTGATCAGTCTGATTCACTGTTAAAAGATGAAAAATTAAATATAAATTTGGAATAAGTAAATTGTTTTTTATTATATCAGATGCTTTCTTTTCCAGGGGTCATCCCAGTGAGATTTGGTAATTTTTATTTATTTATTTTTTTACCAGATGCCCCACCTGATGTACCCARAGCTCAAACCTGCAACCTCAGGATAACCAGACTGTGGCACTGAGCACCGAGCTATCTCAGTCATGTTTAGGAAAAAGTGAGTAAAACAGCCAAATATCTACTAATTGTAGCTCTGCAGTGCCCTCTGGTGGCTGACGATGAAACTGAATTACGTTCATCGCTGTGTTCATTAAGTACAAATTAACCCTCTACTGTACAATGTGATTGGCCTTCACTGTGAAGGCGGGGCTAAGTTTTAAGCAATTGGATGCTTGGAATGMATCACGTGACGTTTAAACCAACACAATATTCCCATGTGTGTGCAGGATTGTTAAACATTGTATGTCATATGAGAAACACAATAGTTAATTAAATAGCTTTTGTTATTATTATTTGAAACCTGCAAATGTGGATTAAGAGGCATTCTGGTGTAAATGGTTGTTTTGTTTATTTGAAATTTGCTGAAAATAAGTAAAAAAAAAAACAACAAAACAAAACATGAGAACAGAAGTGAAATTGGTGGTGGACGAATTATAAAATTTGCAAGAGACAGTTATAAATCTTTGGAATATCTGATAATTATTAATAAAAATAGAAAATAACAGAAATAAATTTTGATTTCAGCTCCAAAACTAAAAAATAAAAAATAAAAATAAAAAAAGAATAATCCCTTGAAGTCTGAATAAAATTTGCTCCTCAAAATGTATACTGAATTTAACAAATCACATCAGTGAACAGGCACACCTTCAATCAGAAAATCACACAATGACTGTTTTCTAAATCAACATACAAAAGCTGAAAACACACAATCTGGACAAACTATATTTTAATAACAAACATTTAATATAATGCTATTAAAACTTAGTCTATAATGACTTCCTGCTTTAATAACTGGTGATAAAATGGTGTCTACAGGTCTTAGTGTCTCCAGAATCTCTAAGTTTTATCTCCTCCGCACACAAACCTCCATACAAACACTGCTGCTTCTGTATCTGTATATGTAAGAAGAAAAAAACTAAAGTATAGACAGCATTTAGTCCATTTGTTATTGAACCACTGTGTCAGATATTCAGGTCAACAATGAACTAATGTTTGGTTCAGGTTGTACTAAAATAGCTGAAACATTTTGACTAAAAACACATAATTTTCTCAAGTCTTAAACTTTGGGGTGGCTGTGGTAGAGTGGTCCTTTAACTGGAGGGTTGCTGGTTCAATCCCCTATTCCAACCATCTGTCCTTATGTCCTTGGGCAGGACACTTCACCCACCTTGCCTGCTGATGGTGGTCAGAGGCCAGTCCAGTGGCCTCTGTCAGTGTGCACCAGTGCAGCTGTGGCTACAATGTAGCTTACCATCAGTGTGTGAATGACTGTAGTTCAAAGCGCTTTAGGGTCCGACTGGGCTTRATAAAGCGCTGTATAAGTTCAGACCATTTACTATTTTGTAGCCGTGGGTAATCAGAATTCAAACTATCTGTCTTTTAGATTGAGAGAAATATTATTAGAATCTTTTTAAAACGATAATGATCTTTTTCCGTCTTATTTTTTGTTTTCAGTCTTCAGGCTGCAGAAGGAACTGAAAAGGCAGTGGGCCATATGGATTCCTTCATGAAATAGTTTCTATCATGGCTACATTTTTGTGGTCACCAGGTGAGAAAGTAAGCCTTCCTAACCTCTGCAGTGTTTTGTTTTTACAGCTGCATCCAGTTTTTTTAGAGTTTTCCTGCTATGTTTTTTTTAGGTGAATTGTGCTCCACATGTAATGTTTAGTGCGACTATTTAGTCCTCTGCTGCTGTTTGTGTGAGCACATTAGCAGTGTGTGACTGCAGCACTTCAGTAATCAGGTTTGGAGCGTTGTGATTTATCTTCTGCACTGATATGACTACGACTTTATTGGGCTGCCTGCTTGTTTTCTTTAGTTCACTCATGTTTCTTTATTATCYGAAGGCTCAAAGGACAGAAATAGAGGCTTCATTGTGAGAATTACTCCCCTGAGGGGGAGGTGTTATTTTCCTCCACAGCTCCTCTGGCTTTGCAGCTGCAGTGCAGGAGTCGTCGTTGTTACATAGGTTTTGTTGTCGYAACTGTCCTCGTTGGCTGCACCTGTGAAGGTGCAGATAAATGGCTTACCTGCTAAGTCTCACAGGGGATTTCACTCCTCAYGCTGCTGTCCACCATGTTTGTGTGTGTAGTTAAATTTAGTTTAATTATTGGCCTAATAAACCTCTATCTTAGCTAACTGGGTGGATTTCTGGTGTTTCGTTGCAGTCATGTTGGGAATATAAACCCATGAATTTTAAGATTCTGTTTTACTCAATATGATGCATATTCATTAGTCAGAGTTGCCACAATTTAGCAGTTTGAGAAAAATATTGTTTGCAAGCATTTCTGTGGYGCTGTCAAATTTCCTCTCATATGTTTGCACTTTTGCATGACAAAGACATTAAACAGACTTAAACATTCACAACTGCTCTATTTCTGATTAGAAAATAATACATCACAGCTGACAAATACAAGAAATCTGTTAAAGTGGGATTTTTTTTCCACTCCTAAAACTGATTCAACTGGCAAAGTTGAACACTATTAAACATTCCTATGTAGCTTATTATTCCTGTCATGCTTCRACTCTTTGTTTGTACACATTTCCAAGCAAATGGTCATTTTAACAATCTGCAAAACACTCCCTATATATATATTGTGGAAAAGAGAATTGATAGCAATTAATTTTTAAAGGAGGAAAAAAAGCATTCTGAGAGAACACTGGGATAAAATCTACAGTTTTCTGTGTAAAGTCTCTGTTGCATGAACCAAACCGCACGAGGAGGAAGGTTCTCAGCTACATTTTGCTACTGGGGTCCAGTTTTAGCTTGGTATTAAAACTAGAGCCCTTGATATAAAGAGTTGTGACAAAAATGGAACAAGCTGAGCCTCTCTCCTGTGATTACAGAGTCATGCGGCAAAAAAATATTAACAATATCTTCTAAAACAGCATCCTTTTTGTGCTGAAAGATTTAAATATACATGAGAAAAATAGGGACTTGGGATAAGTGTTACTAAGTACTTCAAAGTGATAACGTACTACTATTTTATTACAAGGTCTTTCATCTATTAGGAAGGATACTACCAGCACGTAGACAGTTACAAAACAGCACGCTCTTCTAAAGGTTTAGCACTTCAACAAAACGTCAGATGTCAGAGCTCGCTGGCGTGATTGTAGACAGTTATTTTTCTCGTGGATGATTCATTTTTGAAAGAGAAACTACAGAGAGAAGTCCAGGTAACCCCAGGTTTACACTACCATGAAAATGGCATGCTGAAGTCACACCAAAATAATTGATTCTGTGGAAGACGGACTTGAAACGGCAGTTAAAATATCATCTCTTTGTCTTTTTTTCAGAATAAAATTCATGTTTATGTGTGCATTAAARTCCATTAATGAGATATTTTGACAGCATATATGTATTAATTACCCATATTTATTAATGTAGCTAGGGTTTCAAAAAATTTGAGTGCATCTTTGGTGAATTATTTTGAAAACACAGGTGTTCTCGTTCATTTTCCTGCTGGTGCGATGTGATATTTGAAGATTAACTTCGCGCTTGCTCCAGCTTCTGGCAAAAATAGACTCAGGTTGAGTTTTGCTGGTCGGCCGTGTGCACACACCGCCGCCCTGCGGAGGTGACGTGAACGCCTCTTTGACTATAAAGGGTTTATTTTTACTGCAGAGTCCGTGTGGCGGTGGAGTGTAAGCAGTGTAAATCCGGGGTAAATCCCTCATGGCTAGCGTAGCTGCCTGTGTCTCAGAGCTGTTTCCTCCATGCACAAAACTTGTTCTTTACCGTCTTTATAAGGTTTGCTTCACCTGCTTCTCAGCATAAACACACACACAACGTTCTGACCAATCACATAACACCTGACCTATACCTTGCAAGACAGAAGTTCTGCTTGGGGCTAATGCGCGAGACGGGGTTTCAGTGAAGGGCGTGAGAAAAAAAAGTAATTTTTGTTACCCAACCACGTCAGCAAGACACAATGTCTTATAACTCATGGACTATAAATCAGCCTTATTGTGTACCCTACAAAGACATTAGCCTGTGCTGTAGTTTACTAGTAGAAATGGAAAAAAAAAGATCTGTAGGGTGGTAACTATGTGCTTGTATATTCTCTAAACTACACAATGACACCGACATCAGTAACACTGTTTTTTTCCTTCTTTAAACTCTTCCATGGCACATAACCTTTGAATCAATTCTATTTCACAAACAATGTTTAATAATGTGAACATAAAATCCTGAACTAGACCATTTAGCACGAGTCTTTGTCCAACACAGCATCACTGCGATGACCAAACTGATCATGAAGGAAGTCCCAGAAACAAAGCGTTTCCATTCAGGTTTTTTTGTTTGTTTGTTTCGTGGCCTGAAACAGACAGTCTCTGCTGTGATGTGAGCCACAGTGATTTTTGTGTCTTATCAACTGTGTGAAAGATGTGCAGATCTCATTAGTTTCCATTATTTGGCCCACAGCTGCTCCGAACAGCCAGCTCCCCCCACATTAAAGTGTTTTTTTGTTTAAGTCAACTGGGGACCGCTGAGAGCTCAGGTGAAGAAAACCAATTAAATGTCCTATGAGATCTGGTTCGCTGGGAGCTGTGAGGAGTTTTCATCGTTGCCCCTTTCTGAATGGTGTTTATAAAGGTCACATGGCATGAGAGGGAGGGGCTGTCCCTGCTCAGCCAACACCGACTCGTAAGGCGGCGCTGCCTCCAGGGAGAAAGAAATGGACGCAACGTGTTGCTGCTCCTGCAGTCCCAGGGGATAGTGGGTGGGGGGAGACCAGGCAGCGCTCGCTGACGTCTCTCCGTAGCTCGGAGAGGCATCTGGACTCGTGTAGGCGGGCTGCTCCTCTGGCTCTGCCAGGCTCCGACAGGGGTCCAGTAAAGAATAAGGAGGCGGGTCATCTGTGGGGATGTAGATCTGAGTGGAACCTGGTCCAACACACTCATCATATCTACAGAGATGAAGACAGGAAGATTATAATTAGAAATACTGGGGATGAAGATGGAACATCTAATGGAAATAAACTAAAGTAAACATTTAATCATACTGTCCTTATGGTTTGTGACTTACAAAGAAAAACATCAAATACAACTTTTGTGTAACATCCTATTATTAAAGCCTTAATTTGCTAGATTTCACGAAAATTTTCACCAATTAAAGATTTTTTTAAGTGATTGAAGTAGCAAAACATACTGTTTCAAAAACAAAACAGGAGATTCAGTAATTTTTATATACTTGACACAAAATGTTTTTAATAGTTAAGTTCTTCGGCTCTAAATTACTGTATGTTATAGCAAACAAAAAAAATATTCCTTCTAAAGACTGTGGGTTGTTGATCAATCTATGTTATCAAAATGCACAGGTCTTAACAAAGTATTTTGTTTTCTAAAACACTTGTTTCTTCAAGCAGCTTTAGAGTTAAGATTTCTATCAATCTTTTCCATAAAGCAGAGCTGGGAGGAAGAAAAACAGCTTATAAAATACAAACGGAATAGAAAATTGAATAATAAAATAAGCGTGTGTTTGGGAAGCAAATGGTGGATGAGGATGGGAAGATAAGAAGCTGTAATCCAGAGTAACTTAATCAACAGAGCAGTGAATTATATTACTGTGGTTCTATTGTAGGAAGTCTTTCTGTCTTTCTTCCATCCTTCCTTCCTACCGTGGACRTCCTCACTCAGACTCTAACAATAAGATGCAATAACCCTTTCAGATCTACCTATAACCCATAACCAGCAGGACTGCATGAAGAACTGACCTCAGTGTGACTGGGTTTTTGGTTCCCATGTGGACAACAAACTGTTCTCTCAAAAATATTATAGAAATATTTATGTAGTTCTCTCCATCCATTTAAGATCCATCCCTATAAATCAGTTCTTGCTCTTTAGTATTACATAAATTACTCATTTATTCAACCAATTAATTCTACCTGCAGTTCTGGGGCCACATGTGGCTCTTTGGTCCCTGCTGCAGCTCTTTGAGCTTTGACCAAAGCTATCAGAAGCTTTTATTATCACAACAGAAAAGGCTAGTTTTAACCGTTTTACTGTCAATTTGTTTGAATATATGTGATCAATAATACAAAGAGTGAATCATGATTATATCATGCTAGTAACCTGTTGGATACTTATCCAACTTCCAGCTTTAAAGTATACTTCTCTCAAATTCATCAGTGTTACCTTTAAATACTGTTAAAACTAAACTAGATAAGATTTAGAAAAAACATGCCTGCACAGTTTAGTTGTAGTTTTTATAAAATTTGGTATAAACTATCTAGT